TCTGATCTTGTTGAAACTCATTGAAGATTTTTATAAATGGTACCAAAGGATGATTTATTTGAACCGTGGAAATAAGTAGTTCATTGAGGCAATATGAATAGTTGACACAGAAAGTGTATGACACAGATTGGAGATTGGATTTTTGGTTTTCCAAATTTGAAGTGCGACTACATACAATTTACTCTTAAACAATGCTAAAATAATCCACAAAGGAACTACACATGGAAAAAAGAGTATTATACGTCTTGACTAAAGTTTTTCTTGTGCTTTCCATGGTGCCGGTTCCTTCCATTGACGCTATTTTGCTTGCTAACAGAACCCTCTTGAGCACTGCACATTTGAGACTTTAACTTGAACCCAAATTTCTTTGAGACATTTCCCCAAGTATTAGTACCCTTGACCTGACCTAACTTCTCAATTGCTTGCCTCATGTTGGAACACTCCTTCTCAAGCTCAGAAACCCGCATCCTCATGTTATCCATCCCAACCTTCAAGACTTGATTTTCTCTTACAGCTGTGGTCCAGCCTCCTTCATTAGATCCTGCAAACCCACTTCTTAACTGTCGTGATCCATCAAGGTTGTCAGAAACCAGAAAGCAGCCAGCAATTGAGGTCCTAAGCTGAAGCTGCTCAAAGAACAGGACTTGGACAACTATTCTCAGTGGCAGTCTTTCATTTTGTGCGGCATGGGTACAAGCTTCCAAGGAGAGTTTCTGGCAGTCCATCAGCCGGCAAAGTTGTTCCCTTTCAGATTCGGACAACCATGGGTGTGACTGCAAGATTGACAATCAGAGAAAAAATATGTAAGCTTCCAAACTACCATAAAATGTACTATGAACTGCTCAAATGTACTATTATTTTCCTTAAGTTGTTAGTATGTACCTTCAGATAAATGTCTATTGCACGATAAAGACCATCGTCCAAGGGCCTTGCATAGTCAGGAACAGAAGCAGCAAGAGCTTGAAACTTTGGGGGTTTCAAATTAACATCAGGGGCAACCTCCGCAAGGTAACCATCAATCAGCTTGGCTACCATTGTGATTGGTGCCAAGGAAGGTGATCCAATCAACTGACCATCATCAACTGAACACGGAGAGGCTCCACCTGTGATCTGATCCATGGCAAGAAAATGCTCAAGAATCCGTTGCAGACAGTCAACATTGTAAAGTGTTTCCATTGAATAAGAAAAATTAGGCATTAGAAGATCTTCCAAAGTTGCTTGATCTAGTTGCATCCCTATCCTTTTTTCGAGATTTGATATGCAAGAGGGGTTTGATCGAAGAATCATGGCTGTTCGAAGTAGTCCAGAGAGGAACTTGATTGAGACAAGGCCCTTCTGCATTGGAAGCAAACTATCAATCTCTTCTAGTAAAAGCTTCTGCTCTCCTTCTGATGGCGGTGCCCCCAAGGCCACAGGTGCAGGACGTGTACTGGAATCATTAGCACCCTGACGCCTGTTCAAACCAGGTAGGTACCTTTTAGCATAAAAGGTAAGGGAACCAGCAATAAATTCCTGTCTAATGCCACGAGACTCCATGAGTGTGATCAATCTCTTATAGAGAGGTAAACTTAATGTTGATGCATCCTCATACCACCAATCTGAATTTGTATTTTTTGGTCTGGCCCCAGTACTTATTCCATTCCACAAGACACTCCCACCTGGGCTCTGCATAGGGACCCCATGCTCCACCATGGGCCATCCAAATAGATTTGGGTCAGTAGATGCCTTCATTGCTAACGACTCAATGCACCTCTGTGTAATATGTTGTTCATCTGCATAAGAAAGAATATCATCACAAGTCTGGAGTGCTCTTAGTGAGTCTTTCCAATTCCGGAGGACTACTTGGTTGAGAAAGGTTTCCGTTTGTGTGATAAGATTGCCCTCCACGTATTCCTCAGTCATTTCAAGATGCTCAGCAGCACCCCTAAGATAGACCACATTGGATGCTGTGAGTTCAAGTTTCACCCCATAGCAGAATTTGGCAACAAGTTCAAATGTTTTAGCTCCACCCGGAATTTCTGGCAGATTTATGGAACATTTTTGTTCTCCTTCGTCAGATGCTTCTGATATCAATCTTTCCATAACCCCACTTCTTGAGAGTAGAGGGAACTGCATAAAGTGATTAAAATGAGTAAGAACTTATTGATGTGCTGTTATTTGACAAAAAGCTTCCACAATCATACATTAAAGATAGGAAAGGCCCATACAATGACCAGGAGAGAAGCTAGAAGTTTTACAATTATGATATATGCTTAAAAGTTATCAGAATGAGAAATTCAAAATTGAATAAAAGAAGCATTAAGTTAGAGCTAACACGAACTAACTCCCTGAAGCCTGAACCCCAACCAGCATGTCCTGCATCAAATGTTACAGGCCATATGCGCCTAGTGCATACTACCTCCTAACATATTCATTATTTATCAGCAAAAGAATAATAAGTATTACTCTAACACTTACAAATGACCAAGTGCATCTCACTAAGCATCTAGGGGCCTGTGTCCGGTAAACTTTAACACATAAGAAAGAAAGTGTATACAGAGAAATATTACCTTGTGGAGATGGAAGGACATTTCTCCAACTTCAACAACGATATCACTAGGCAGCCCAGTTGTGCAGAACCTATAGTCATAAACATAGAAACAAGAATCACATACATGCAAACAAGATATGTAGAGCATTTATGTTATCATGTACTTCCGTTTGCTTATTAAAGAAAGGTCATCTGTTGTTATACCGATATGTTTTTACATGAAAAATAATGTCCTACAGAAGCAGAGTCTCTACTTCCCAAATCCCAAATTTCTGCAAACTGTTCAATTACTATATTAGCATTTCAGATCACAATACCAATGTTCATCACTATCTGTTAAGGTACTCTTAAGAGAAGTGGATGGCTATTTCTGTGACCAATTCATAAAACATTAAAACTTCAGATCTGTGCTTGTAAATTACTAAAGAGTGCCTTTGTAGGAAAAGACTGATAGCCTAAAAAGTTAAAATTGCCAGTGTCAAACAAACAGTTCACAGGTGTTGATAATGTACTAAATATATATATTCAATCAGGTGAGGCATTATCAGGCCAAGTTAATCGAAGAAAACAATATCTAAATGTTACTAAATTAAGTTCAACTAAAAGTAACATCTCTTAGAAAGCAACGCGGGTAAACTAGATGAATCTTTAAGTAACTAGATTTCATAGTGCAAAAATCTGAGGCTCGGATGGCCCAAAAAAGAAAAAAAAAAAAAATCTGAGGCTCAGGCAATGGATATGAGATCCAAATTTGTGAGCTAAATGCCATATATAGGCAATGAGGAGAAGGTGAGCTTTCATTATCAAGTGCAAAACAGTCAGAGGTTCAGATCACCATCAGAAGTTGCATACAAGTCATCTCTTCATCCATAAACACATAAGAATTTCTAGACAGGAAGATAACAAACACAAATACATACAAGAGAAAAATAGAAAATTCTGAATTACTGAAGAAGAAAGGTCAGGGTTCATACCAGGCCTGCCCTTGCCTTTGAAATGCGTCAGTCTTGGATCCCAATTTCATGCAAGCCATTTTCTCACAGTGCAAGAAGGATAAAACTTCAATTAACAGACAGAACTGCAAACAGGGTTCCTCAGGACCCAAAGACAGCTCCTTTAATCACACTGGAAGCCAAGTGGACCCGTTTGTCAAAGGCAATATCCCAAAAACTAAACTCAAAATAGAAACAGAAAAACCCAATTAATTTTTACCTTCAAACACTACTCTCAGAACTTTGAACGAGCCCCAAATGCTGCTTCTGCTCTCAATTGTGAACAATTAATTTAACCCTTCAAAATGCAGAAACACCAACAACAACTTCCAGTGAAGGGGAAACCACCTCAAATCCAATGAGGAAAACCACCTAAAACGGTTAAACAAGATAACCGCACTTCAGATCCCAGCCCTGGAACACAACATCCCCCAAATATGACACCAATTTCAGTTTTGCCTTGGGTCAACCCTTCCAATTCCTTCCACCCCACCTGCAATGGTAGATTACCCTCTTCCTCCTGCCCTAAACACCCACACCTAGAAAATTTCAAAACTCAAAAACAAACTCAACACCACTCATTCCCATAAGAGAAATCCAACAACCTAATCACTGCAGCTGTTTCCTCACTGTACCCATGAAAATAACAAATCCCTCCAAGCTGTCATACCCATAAATGATGATGTTACAATCCCAGAAATCCAAAAAAACTCAACAATGGGTATTAATGGCAGCAGCTCTCAAAACCAGTCACCACACCCACATGCAATGATGGGACCACTTTTGGCTTTGCTTAAAACACACTCATTGTTTATCCTAGAACTAAGAACTCAGTTACTACAGGGATGGTAGAATCTCTTGTGAACATTTTCTCCGAAATACTTCAACAATTGACTTCTGAGACGCCAGAGTGGAAATGGGATCATTTTTTTGGAATTGTTAAGGAGAATATTTTTATTACCATCTACTTTGGTCAGGCAAGGCCATGTGGATCCGTTACTTAATTTTCACATAATGAAATTGAAATCCATTAATTACGAGTTTACTGCGTTTAGAATTAATTCAGTCAAAGTACTACAATGTTTGGTAGTGATAGTACTAATTTTTTAGGTAAAAAGAGGAAAAAAATAT